TTGAGAGAAGTAGCAGAGCGTTAGGCAGTGCCAACTACAGCGAAGTGATCACTGCAGGTTTGTGGGAAAGGAGAGGTCAAGGTTGCCTTCCAAACATGCGTCGATGACGTCCAAGTCGAATTCTGGATCAAACATCTCAAACGGATCCAGCTCTGGCATTTCGTTGAAGTAGGAGAATCCTGGATCATGGAAAACAGTTGAATTGGAGTCTAAGACACCATATGTTGGTCTTGATACTGAGTGGGGATCATTGCCGCGTCCTGTAGATTTGTCAGATAGTGTGACGACAGAATGCTAGACATGGAACAGCCGTGTCTACTAGCATGATGTATTTTGTAGCTCAACAATTGTGTAAGACAGCGCTTACCTTGTTTTGCGGTGGAATTCCCATGTCGTTGGCTTTTCCGGAGCCCGGTTCCTGCAACATTCGCATAGACTCTGTCTAGTTCTTTAAGAGTCACATTCCCCATGTCCGCCATGACAGCAGCCGACCAGAATATTTCGCCTAGTGTCTCCAATATCTGGCAATTCATCTCCAGAGCATTCCGGGCTCGGGAGCGGTACATGGGGACTTTGCTCCGTCGCAGCTCCCGATAATTAACGCTCAGGGATAAGGACACCGCATAAGGGACAAACGGGAGCAAGACTAATTGGTCACGAAATTCGTGTCCAACCATAGCTGTAGCTCGCTCCGCTGACAAGATCTGCCGAGTCCTCGGTGCTCCTGGACCGAAGGCACCATTGTCACCCGGACAGGGACGAAAAGACAATATAGCGACGGCGTGATAAAGAACTTCGATGGTTGCTGGGCATAAGAATCAGGTCAGAGGGTTTCCCTATCAAGACAACACAGCCCCGAAGCTTTACATACCCAGCAAGTGTGTAGGAATTTGGGTGGCAGAGCATTTTGTGATAAGATCCTCGAACAGAGCAAAGTCGAATGACGACTCGCTTGGTGTTGCCCTTGGGCGGTATAGTTTGACGACGCCGTCAAGCAATTCAATGACATGTAAGAAGAGCCTGAAAGTTGGAGCCTGCTTTGCGAATGACTCTTGAAAACACCGTGCGATGTCCCTCTCGTGCATGGCGACCGCACGACCATGAGAAGCAGCATTTAGCCGGTCAAGAGCCCAGACGCAGCAAAACAGAGTTCGAGCATATTCGATATCAGTCTCGCCATCTCGATCGGGAACATGCAGACCGAGCGAATAGACATACTGAACTGCCCGCGCAATCATTAGAGACGAATTTTCGGTACCTTCAGGCCCGTCGACGAAGAGCGACATCAACGCGAGCGCTTGCGTAAGAATGATCTTATCGAGTACGATGCCAATTTCAACTGCCACCCTCATAGCAGCGAGTAGGCGAATCCCGAATTCCTTGAACATTAACGGAGCACCATCTGCTATGACCAGGTGCCTTCTTGAAGAAAAATCCATCGATGCAACCAAACACATACCTTGCCCAAGCAGAATGCGGGCTGGGTTGTCGCTGGACAAGCTTCTATACGTGGCCTCGTCAACGATCGGGAGAATAGGGTGGACTTTTTCGAAATAAAGGGCACACAACGCGTCGAAGTGTACAGCAGGAGGTAGAATTGATAAACACTCTTCCTCAAGAATGGGCAAGAATATTCTCTGAATACGAGGTGTAAATCCGTGGAGGAGACTTGACGGCGGCGCTTTCAATTTTTCTGGAAGATTTGGCGAGTCTCCAAGCTTTGCGGCAAGCCAGACGCCGATGTTGCTCCCATTAGGCATCCCTCTCACGTTTTTTGGACTCGTCGCAGCCAGAAAAACTCCCTCGGGATTCATGTCCCCAATGAATCTTGAATCGAGAGGTGGGCCGTCGTTCACATTTTCAGCTCCGGTAGGAGAGCCTTGCTCTGCATGATCCGCCATCAAGTCGTCGATAACTGCATGCTTATCGATTGACGCCGCAGGTCTGGAACCACTGGGTGGCGACTGTCTCCCATCAAGATGCTGTTGGAATGATTGCTGGGACACACCAAGAACTGCATTCACTACTCCATAATCCGGACTCGGGGAGAGTTGATCTTGCACGTCTTCCTGCCCGACGTCATGATTGCACCGTTTTTTCTTCTTCCGGCAAGTAGCACATGCACGTGGCAGGTGTTTCCGTTTCCGGCTGAACACATTGGCGTCGGTAGCAACAAACTTGTACATGGTCTGCTCGGCCAGTAATGCATTGAGAGGTGCTAAGCAGAGGGGCTTTGAGAACAGTAGTCAAACCATACAGCGAGAGGCATCTCGTATGTTATGCCTCCGACCTTGAAAAGCAATCTTTGGGAAACTGAAAGTAGGTTGGTAACAGTGATCGAGACCCTTTTGATCGCCAAGTCATGATCTCGTGACCGGATAGTCATGTGACAACTACTCTGGTAAGAAGAAATAGTGTACCTGTACATTAACACGTAGGCACAAGCACCGGAACCAGAATATAAACGGAGTGAAGAGCAGTGCTGCTTCCAAGTGAGTCGTGCTCCTGTTGATAGGCTCATAAACCAATTTCATGCATGGCCGACAACATCGAAGGCAAATAAAGAACCCTCGCGAAGTCGGATATGTTGTATTGCTCATTAAGGGATGATAGCACCCAGAATCAAATGACCCTGAGTGACTGCTGGTTGCTGGGCATCTGAATGCGTGCCCAAAAATTTGAGGATGTTGTTTGATGGTGCTAGCTGATCTTCAAAAGAAAAGGGGCCCAGCGGACGCTGTGGTGTAGTACCAAGAAGGAATGGAACACAAAGAGACGTGCTCACGTGATCTAGTTCGTTGACGCGCCTTGTCGATTGCCTGCGGGCGCCGCTCAACTAATGGATACTCAGCCATTTTCAACACTGTCTGTCCAGTCTTGTCTTCTACAGGTCCAGCACATTCCGGAACCGAATTCGACTCGAATTCTCATCTTTTCTTCGTTCTGCTCTAGCATCACCATGTCAAAGCAAAACGATCCGGAGGCAATCTCGAATTTCCTCGCAGAACAACGAGATGAAGCACCCACCGAACTTCAACATATCTTTCTCTCTTTCGAAGATCTCTGGGAACGCAAGCTATGGCATCAACTGACGGACAGTCTTTTGGAGTACTTCTCGAATCCAGAGAGTACTGCTCAGAGACTACCCATCTACAACACTTTCATCATTAGTTTCGCCGACAAGATCAACCAGCTCAAACTCGTCAAGTTGGGACTGAGCGCCTCGGCGCAAATCAAGGGTACATCCCTAAGCTCGGTACTGAGAACTCAATGCTAAATTACCGTCAGATGACACTGAACGAAGCCAGTTCCTCAAGACTCTCGCCGATCGAGTTGCTAGACCAGATTCCGAAGAAGCGCACGTCTACACCATCACCGAGCTGGCCAGTGTGTATCTGAGGCTAGGAGAGGCGGCAAAGACGAAGGAACAATTAGAAAAGGCGCAAAAGACTTTGGATCAATTTGATTTCGTGGAGAATGTGGTTCACGCTGCCTTCTACCGAGTCAATGCCGACTATTACCAAGCCGAGAGCGACTACACATCCTACTACCGAAACTCGTTACTGTATCTTGCATGTATAGACGAATCAGAACTAAATACTGAGCAACGACAGCACAGAGCATACAATTTGGCCATTGCTGCATTGGTGTCGGACCAAATCTACAACTTCGGGGAGTTGCTACTACATCCTATTCTGGACGTCCTCAAGCCTCCACACCCTCAGTCATGGCTGCGCGACCTCCTGTTTGCCTTCAACCGAGGCGATCTCGCTGCATTTGACCGGATGTCCAATAACCTCAGCAAAGATCCCACCCTCGAGTCGCATCGATTGTTCCTCTGGCAGAAGATCAACTTGGCGGCGTTGACAGAGCTGGTATTCAAGCGGCCTCCACATGACCGTGCAATGACTTTCAAGACCATCAGTCAAGAGACGAATGTCAAGCCCGATGAGATTGAGCACTTGATCATGAAGGCCCTCAGCTTGGGGCTTTTGCGAGGAAAGATTGACCAGGTAGCCCAGATTGCGAGGATCAACTGGGTACAGCCCAAAGTACTGGAACGAAGCCAAATCGAGGGCATGAGGCAGCGGCTGAAGGAGTGGGATAATAATGTCAACGATTTAGGCCACTGGATAGAAGGTGTCGGCAAGGATGTTTGGGCGGCATAGTCATCCATGATCACACTTGTGTGGGACGGCTAGGGGATGGCGTTTCGAGGCAGCAGAGGTAGACGGCCGATGGGAAAGGTTCCCTCGACAGCTAAAAGCAAAACATTGTAGGATTAGCCATCGGAGATACAATCCAGTAACGCGCCTTGTTGTCGAATTTCGTTTATGAAAGCAAGACTCGGCTATGATTTCACTGCTCAGTGCCACAAGGCTTAAGCGAGGCTGAGCAAGGCTGCCTGCAGCTCCACCGACTGGAGCCCCGAATCCAATGCACGCTAAAATTTTGGACAATGGACATGTTCCAGCATCGAGGAGCTCTTTTACCAACCGTTCTACGCCGTACAACCCTGAAAAACAACAGCATCGGGGCCACTGGCTTTCCGTTTTCCAATTGCCGTTCTCCCTAATGCACCCCCGATCATCTCTTTGACGCCGGTGAACGCACGAACGCACCCACCCACCCACGCAAGAACGAACGAGCAGACGAACGCAGGAAGGCTCGGTGGTTGCCCAGGCAGCTAATCAGTCAGGGAGTCAGCTATAATGAGCCCGTCGTCTGCGGTGACGTTCGCGCGTGCCTGTGCCTGCGCCTGCGCCGGTAGGGCAAGACCTACTGCGCCGCAGAGCCTGCTGCACTTCCTGCGGACGCAGTCGACAGCACCGTCACTGGTCGCCAGTCGAGGAACGAATCGCCATCTTTCGTCGCGATGCCGCAAGGTCCCTGTACAGCAGCAGAAGCAACGAGCGTTCTCTTCAACATGTCTCCTACACCGAGCACAACCTATCACTGACATTCCGCCGGCGGCGTCTTCGGAGGGACTCGACGCCTCGATGATCCTGGGCAAATCAAGCGATGACGGATCAAACATTGCCCCGAGCATACTCTCACGCGCATCGACGGATCCTGAGTCGAAAGGATCGTCTTCTACCTCTGTCCCTCAACGCTCGTCACAATCACCGTCCCCTCCACCGCCCTCGTCCCAAAATGAGAAAACCACAACTTCGTCATCGTCGTCGTGGGAGCCCTCGCTGATCTACCCTTCCTCCTCACACGAAATCGCTGCTCGGGATGCCGCCTTCTTATCTACGTCGCCTACGCTGGTGGGGACCGTGTCCAGGGTGGGGACGATGCAAAAGACAGTGCGGGTGACGCGCCAGATCCAGGTGTGGCACGCGCATTTCCAGAAACACTACACACGCCCGACGCACAGCCTGGTCCACGACCCGCACAACCTGCTGCTGGAGGGGGACGTGATCAGGTTCGGCGCGTTTCCGCCGTCGATGAGGGAAGAGCGCGACCGCCGCGGACAGGTGGTGGTCAAGAGACACCGGCCGCGCGACCGCAACGGGGTGGTCAAGGAACAGGGTGTGCGGTACATTGTGCGTGAGGTTATCAGCCCGTTTGGCGTGCCCCTCGAGCAGAGACAGCCGCGGACCGTCGGGAGCGACAAGGGCAGGTGGCTCGGCACCGAGGGCGAGATGAAGAAGCCAGCACTGAGGCAGAAGGGGAGACGGGATGGCAAAGGTGCCAGCGCCAGCGCCAGTACCACCAGCACCAGTACCAGCAAGAAAAGCCGAGCGAAAGCAGGGGCAGTGAAAGAGAGACAGGAGTCGGCAGCGAGCCCGGTGCCGGCGTAAAAGGCAAAGATCGAAAAAACCGAGGGTGGCCTCCTGGCTTCGTGTGTAGCCATGTAGTTATATAGTTCAACCAGACTCGGGGGAAGACCAGGGAGCTATTTCAAAGAAATCCGAGCGCCATGGTCGTCGACAACAACCCATATAGAGATCTGTTTCGGAAAAGTACAAAATTAACAAGGGACGGTGAAGATGCACCCTTTGGCTCCATCATAAATCCGACGACTAATCTATAGCCGCAAATGCGAGCTCGGTCGGATATGGCCTCTGCAAGCATAAATTCTCGTGATCATGAAATGAGTGCCTATCTATTGTTCCTCGCGCCTTTGCCTGTCTTTCTTTGTTGCTTTGCCCCCTGGACCCGTCTAATAGTAATACTTCATGACTGTAAATTATGCAACAGAAAAGCCCAAGTCAAGGAGTTCCGCCGCGTGACCTCGTGTGGTTTCGGATCAGATTGGTGGCCGATGTCCCTTTGATTTACATTGTCATCGACTTGTTATCCTTCGGAATTTCATCTGCAGCCTCGCCATCGACATTCCTTGATGCTTGCACGCCATCAATTTCAACCTCTGGGCTCGCAGTTGTCACAGGCCGTGAAGGGGGTTGCCTCGTTCCTGAATCGCCATCTCTGGGATCAGAAGGCGGCTGCTGAGAAGGCGATTTTATCAGGGAGGCTCGTCGTAGCTTCAGCTTCTTCTCGCCTTGTGCGGATATTCTAGTCAACTCGGCCACAAAAGATTGTCCCCAGAACGCACTTGCAACGGTCGTTAGACAAGTTTCCAGAGCAAAGTTTCGTGGAGGGGTTACATGACTTACCTGGTATACTTGAAGACATACTTATGCAGCTTGGCATAGTTAATGGCGCGGTGTTCTGGACTCATGGTCACGGCTTCCTGAATGGCACCTGCCAACTCCTCGGTGTTCCAGGGGTTCACCAAGATACTGCCGTTCAAGCTCTGTGCGGCACCGGCAAATTCGGACAGAATAAGAACCCCTTTTCGTTGCTCCTGTGAGGCTATGTACTCAAAGGAAACCAGGTTCATGCCGTCTCGCGTCGAGGAAACGAGACACACGTCTGAAACGGCGTAAAGTGCGATCAACTCATCAAAGTTGACCGATTTGTGCATGAAGTGGATGGGCATGAATTCGATAGTGCCTGGGCTTGTCAGTTAACCAAAGTCTAGAGGAAAGTTGGAAAACGAGGGGGAACTTACCGAATTTGCCGTTTATTCGTCCCACCAATTCGTTGACAACAGCTCGAAGATTCTGATACTCCTCAACGTCTTGCCTGCTGGGCACAGCGACTTGAACCAAGACAACCTTGCCAATCCATTCCGGGTGATCTGTTAGGAAGACCTCGAGAGCATGAAGCTTCTGAGGAACACCTTTGATGTAGTCGAGACGATCTACGCCGACAATCAACTTGACACCCCTGAACTTCTCCTCCAGCACCGCAATCCGCTTTTGAACCTTCTCCTTCTTCAAGCCTTCGGTGAATTTTTCCGGGTCGATGCCGATCGGGAACGCACCAACTGTGACAATCTTGCCTTCAAACTCGACCCCATTGGGTGTTGTTGTGAGATTTAAGATTCGTGAGCAGCTACTGAGGAAATGCCGGGCATAGTCGTAGGTGTGAAAGCCAATCAGATCGCAGTGAAGAACTCCCAACAGGATCTCGTTTCGAACGGGCAGAATTCTGTAGATCTCGCTCGACGGGAAGGGGGTATGTAAAAAGAAGCCGATCTTGACATTGGACTTGGTGGACCCAATCTCTTCGCGAAGCATCTGGGGCAACAGCATCAGGTGATAGTCGTGCACCCAGACAAGATCGCCATCCTCGACTTCACTAGCAATGGCCCGGGCAAAAAGGCGATTGACCTCGGTGTAGGCATTCCAAGCAGACTCGTCGAAGGTGATTTCACCAGGATGGTAATGAAAGAGCGGCCACATAATGGAATCTATAGCTGTCAGCTTGAACTGCAAATTGCAATTGAGGATACTAGAGACTCGTACTTGAAAAGCCATTGTAATGTCTATCGGCCAATTCGTCGTCCACGAAAACGGGGATAGCATTAAATTCGTCTTTGAGGCGCTTGACCACATCACCGACCTCTTCTTGAGGGACCTCCAGGCCTGGCCAGCCATACCATTGAAAGGTGGTACTCTTTGCCAGGCCACTGAGACCCGTGACGAGGCCTCCGGACGACATGGAGTAGTCATATTTCCCTTCGGGGGAACGCTTGATGGTGATTGGAAGACGGTTCGAGACTAAGAGAAGTCGTGATTCCACCTTGGGAGGGCTGTCGGTTGCGGATGGCATGTTTGCCGTGGGATAAATCAAGTGTCTGTTAGAGTCCAGGACGGTATCCTATCGAGAGCTGACTCAGACCAATCCTGGGAGATGGTCAGATGGCAAGGGGTGGGCGGAAGGGATGGATACAGCGTCAAAACAAAGAGGCTGCTGGTGAAGGATAGGTGAGGGCGGGGTCGATGGTGGCAGCAGCGAATCCACGCACCTTGCAGTGAACCTTGAGATTTTCCAGACTGTAGTCGGTGGTGGGGAGATGGTGGCGGTGATGGTGGCGGTGATGTGTAGAAAAGGAGCGATGAAGAAGGAAACGATCTGAACTTTGACAAGTCGATGGATTGATTCACTGCATTTGCTGTCGAGGGGTGAATTCCTGCCCAATGCTTTTCGGGAAGCCAGTCAAAATGCAGTCGCGATGCAGGTGCAGACAGATGAATCGAGGAAGGCGTGATCCGTATCAGCTAGTCCGCGGTGATTTGGCTGCTCATTGCGTTTTCTTCAACTTCCACGAGGACGAGACTTGGGGTTTAGTGGTGAGTTGTGTATAGATCGTAATAGTTTCTGGTTTATTCCCTGGGTGGGAGGGTTCAAATGCAAGGTCGTCGAGGGGCGCAATGCAAACTTTGAAGTCGTCAAGGAGTTACGGTAGTTGTGCAAGGCGAACAGGGGTGACACAGAAGTGAGAGTTGCGAGCATGTGCGAGGACACGTTCGGCTTAATTGAGGCCCATCTTCGGGAAAACCAGATGTTGGGTAAATGTAGATGGCGATGGTGATGGCGATGTTTCTGGTACTTTCCTTGTTCTCAGTTTCCAAGGCCGTCGGATTTCTTGGTGCCATTAAAATAACGAGAGACCGTTCCGGCTGCGATACTACTACATACAGGCTTGATACGTCAGGCCAGCTTCGGATCAAGGTTCCGGCGGGCAAGTTAGACCCAGCTAGACCCAGCACCAACAAACACTTGGGTGCATAGAATCTTCCAATGCCTTGCCTACAACTACTCAATACGGAATGCTTCCCAGCCCCTTGGTGCGCGAATAGCGGCCGCCAACACTCTATTGGACCTCCTTGTTAGATCGCCCATCCATTCCTAGACTGGGCTATCATAGCTATTGTAAAAAACACCTTTACTACTGGAGAAGCAAAAGAGCCACAAGTGAAAAACACTCGTATAAGTACCGAGCACTAGATACTTTTCTACCCAAACTGTCCAGAGGAAAAGAGCTCCCTCTTGCATCGTCTCGGTTGACGAATGGATGATACCCATTTGTCACCTCATGTTCGACATTCCCATACATCTCATATCTCTCAACAAACATGACCATGCTAGTGATAATTGCCGACAGTTTGCCGTGAGGACCCCTCTCTCTTTTTTTTCGTTGCGGTCTATGTAAATTGCTTGAACGGTGCATTCCCGCCCAATAGCCTCGCCAAGTATGATAATTGGTCAAGACGGTGCAGGACATCGCTTTGGAACGCTCATTGCATGCACAACGCCGTCCTTGTTCATGCTTCCAAATGAAATCCCACCGCCTCTCCCCGCGGCCGTGTTTCCTCAACCCAGTCCTCCTTCCAAAAGACCAACGTTTTCGATACAAAAATATATATCGGGGGGCAAAAAAAGAAAGAAAAAATAGATCGAGGCTAGATTCATGCTAGTGAGTGAGTTCGTCGTCATAACGCCGTGGTCGTTCATCAATCGTCCATCCGGTTCGCGTGGAAAAATATCAAGAAGCATCGCATGGTATCGTGGGAGACGTCAAATATCTCGTGAGATCTGCAACGACAGGACTTTCTCATCATAAGCCGTAAATACATCATAGATCTAATTCGCTCGAATCACAAGTTTGGCAAGGAACTTGTTCGACAACGAATCAAAGTCTTTACGGTCGAACCGCGCGTTCGGTCGACCTCGTAAGTAGTTTTCTGCACACCGAGTCAGTTCTACGCACCAATAAAAAAGTCAAGGGGGCATCAACTCACCATATCTCGTAACATGTTCGCGGACTTCGCTCATGGTGTTGCACACATCCATGTTGGATGCCAAGAGTGCATGGTGCTTGGAGGTGTCCCATTCAAGGAACGACGGGAGCTTTTGAGAGATGGCCTGGAAAAGGCCAACCACGACACCGACGGGGGTAGTTTCCATGTCGTTGCAGAACTTCTCCACGGCCGCGTTGTCGGGTACACGGTAGTGGCAGTCAAACTGCATGCACTCCCACACCGCCAGCAATACTGATGCGAGGATGAAGATGGTGGGCCAGTTTTTGAGCTTGTCCCCACTGTACACGCTCGAGTACAGACTAGACAATTCTTCCAGAACATCCTTGTGCAATTCACGCCACATGTCGGCCATGGCACACTTGATCTGGAAGTTGATCATGACCGGAGCCATCGTCTTGCCGAAGAATTTAGAAGTCTGTTCCTCGATCTTGCCGACAAAAGACTCTTCACTGGGTACACCCTCGACCATGGTAATATGCAGGGTCAGGTTGTAGGCCAGCATCAGCTTCAACGCCTTCTTGATGATTTTCGATCCGGTCTTGAAGTAGAAGCGGAACGCCGTCTTGAGCATTTGTGAGAGGAAGGGTGTTCCCTCAAAGTAGTCGTCCACAAACTTCTCAAATGTGCCGGTCCCGTCAATGTGTCGGTCGAGGTAATCACTCAGCATGGTTGTCGAGATGCCTTCC